TACAGAGTACTGGGCTAATGGTAAGATTCTTGGTAGTGTGGATGAGCAGAAAGATCTCGGTGTCCATGTGCATAGATCACTGAAAGTTGCCACCCAGGTTGATAGCGTTGTTAAGAAGGCGTACAGTATGTTAGGTTTTATTGGTAGAGGGATTGAGTTTCGGAGCCATGAGGTCATGTTGCAGCTGTACAAAACTCTGGTGCAGCCGCACTTGGAGTATTGCGTACAGTTCTGGTCACCGCATTATAGGAAGGATGTGGAAGCATTGGAAAGGGTGCAGAGGAGATTTACCAGGATGTTGCCTGGTATGGAGGGAAGGTCTTATGAGGAAAGGCTGAGGGTTTTGAGGCTGTTTTCATTAGAGAGAAGAAGGTTAAGAGGTGACTTGATAGAGACATACAAGATGATCAGAGGATTAGATAGGGTGGACAGTGGGAGCCTTTTTCCTCGGATGGTGATGGCTAGCGCGAGGGGACATAGCTTTAAATTGAGGGGTGATAGATATAGGACAGATGTCAGAAGTAGGTTCTTTACTCAGAGAGTAGTAAGGGCGTGGAATGCCCTGCCTGCAAAAATAGTAGACTCGCCCACTTTAAGGGCGTTTAAATGGTCATTGGATAAACATATGGATGATAATGGAATAGTTTAGGTTAGATGGGCTTCAGATTGGTTTCACAGGTCGGCGCAACATCGAGGGCCGAAGGGCCTGTACTGCGCTGTAATGTTCTATGTTCTATGTTCTATGAATGCACCTCCCCAACAGCATTCAAGAAGATCAACACCACATTAAACATTTTCTCCCTTGACCAGTGAAACACTGTAGCAGAAGTGTGTACTACCTACTTTTTGCACTGCAGTAACTCGCCAAGACTCCTGTGTCAATGCCCTCCAAAACTCTGAGCTCTATCACCTAGAAGAACAAGAACAGCAGATGCATGCAGACAGCTGCACTTGCAGCTTCCTCTCCAAGCCACTCAATATCTTGACTTGGAAATACATTGCTGTTCCTTCAGTGTCACTGGGTCAAAAACCTGGAGTTTGCTCCTTAACAGCATTATGTGAGGACTTAGCCCTCCCATGATTTGTAGTCAAGAAGACAACTCATCACTGCCTTCTCAAGGCCAAATAGGGATGCGCAATACACGCTGGCCCAGCCAGCAAATCTAATGAATAAATACAAGAAGTGGAGCATAAATGGTGAGAAATTAAATGTCTTCCTAAATATTATAAATATTGGATCAACTATAATGAAAGAAGATCATAAGTAAACATTGCACTGTGACATCTCTCGAAGTGGCACAGTAGCTGAAAGTAGGGTATGACAGACAGAATAGATTCCTTTCCTGTAGAGCTACGCACACCACTGAGGTCATAATGTCTTGTTTTGTAATGCAAACCCATTGTTGCACTCAGTGACTTCACTGGCAACCTGCTCCTGGAAGATGGGTCTTTGCTTAAGGACATTTGACTAATGTTGATTGGACATAACCGATAGCCAATCTAATTATTTTGTTAGTGACATAGCAATTTAATTCATAGTTATTTAAGGGGAGTCCAGTTCGGTGGGGCATTGCTCCATTTAATAAGACATGAGGAAGTATTGATTTTTATGTGTTTTTTTAACACACTCCTCATTTCTGAACCAGCAGATCCTGCATTCAAGTCTCACTTCAGATACTTGAGCACAAATTCTCAACTGACAGACTGATTACTTCCACCCTGCTTTTACATGAGTCATTAATCTGAAATCCTCTCTCGGGCAGATATAGAAGTTCCTATGGCCACTGTTTCAAAGCAGCGCAGAGGCGCTCTCCCTGGTCTCCTGAATGATATTTATCACTCAACCAACATCACAAAAAAAACGATAATCTGATATTGCTATTGCTGTTTGTTGGAGCTTGCTGCATGCATACTGGCTGCTGCATTGCCAACATTACAGTGGTGACTACACTTCAAAAGTATTGAATTGGCTGTAAAGTATTGTATGAACAATCCTCACCACTGTCCACTATGTTGCATGTGGCTGTCTGTAATATTGTTCCTATGGGGTAGATTTTCTGCCACCATCTACAGGGTAGGGATCTACCGGGCCCACTTGTCCAGTATGTTAAAGTATAAACACTTGCTAATTTAACGAGAAGAGGCGCTCTGATCCTAAGACAAAATGTAATTTATTGCATGATAGCAATTAGGCACAACTTACGCTGATATGACAGACATTGTTACAGAGACTATGAGGTGAACCTGAATGGAAAGTTTTACGCCTTAAACATCCTGAGTTGCTCTTCCACCAGGTCAATATGATATTAACTGAGCAGGTGTTGTTTAAGGCAATCGTCAGGATTAACCATTTCAGATCCTTATACTTTCATATAACATCTCCCCTATGGATTTTTCTATTATTAATGTGCATTTGTGCATATCATCACACTTACAACTGCACCATCTCCCCAAATGACACAAGTCCTTGAGTTCACAAATTAAGGCAGTCTGGAATTTACACAATTCTACTGGCATGTGTTCTCTTTGGACTTGGAAGACTGCTGGGTTGAAGCCTCTTGGCTTTGATTCTGTTTGTGAGTGCGTGAGGTCTGAAAGTCCCTTTGGTTATGAAATTCCTCATTGGGTTCATCCCAATAAAGCAACAGCGGGTGATTAATCTGCAATGAGATAAGGTTCCTGCAGTTCCTTTAGCTGGACAAGCAATATAGGATTGTTGGTAGTCTGCAGCTCCTTGAATGACCATACCTTTCTTGTTAACATTCTGTATCCAGACCTGTTGTCCTTGTCCAATTGCATCAACCATACCCCACATCAAGTTTATTCTAGTGCATGACCTGTTGTGCCGTTCCTTCGAACATACATGTTGATCCTGTGGGTGCAAATGTGGAGTCACGACCTTGATAGGGTAGGAAGCTAAATCTTCAGCCTCCTGCCTATCCAAAATTCTGATTTTGACAGACCTCATTGGAGGGAGGTGGATTGGTAATTTAGCAATGCAGTACAAAAGTCAGCATTTTTTAAGTGTCCGACCCATACTTGGTGTCCCCATTCAATTGTCAGTATCTTGTTCAAATCCAGAATTGGCTGCAAGCTAGTTGAAGTACACATTAACAAGCCTCGGTCTATTGCCTGATATGACCACATCAGGGATATCATGTGTTGCAAACCCCTCCTGTAAGACCTTGACAACCACATCTGTACGCCCCTCCAGTCACAATGAAAAACAGCCTAAACCAATAAGGTTAGACTTCCATCAAAAAAGAATAGGCCTGTGTCCACACACTCTCATGATCTGACGATGAATGCAGTGGGTATCAGTGGGTCTTATTGTTCTGTTTTCTCAGCTAAACTGCAAGGCCAACTTCTTCAGCTAAAATGGAGGATTTCCACCTTTCAAGAGTGAAATAAAGGAATCTCACATTTTTCATAGCTCCTTAGCTAAGTCCTGCTATTTGTAAATTAATTGTTCCCATTTCCTTAATGGGTTTGCTGAATGAGATCTATTGCCTGCAGCTTCAATAATAAGACCTAGTTTAACTTTTTCTGATTGGTTTCTGCAGTCTGTGCTCTTATAATGATCCAAGTTACTTTCTTGGTTTTCCTTGTTAAATCTTGCCGTGGGGTTTCTTCTGTAGGGTTCTTGAATGTTCATCTCTTCCTGGTGCTAACTGACTGCATGAGCAGGATCCTTAAAGCTGTATCTAAAGAAATCTTTGGACTTCCATTGCTGCCAGCATGCAGTATAAGGCAACTAAACAGAATTGGCATTGCTGCTTACCACAAGCAACCTTCACTGCTGACTCCTATATTTTATGAAGCTGACTGTACTGTGGCTCATGATAGGGTAGGTTTATTTTCTCCACCTTCTTTTAGGCTTGAAATCCACAGTGCCTGCCTGGTCCAGAGTGCTAGAGGAAAACCATGCTTTCTGTTGAGAATAGGCTCTGTTTTAAATAAGATGTGGTTTATTGCATGTTATCATTTAAATGCAAGTTACACTGATATGATGGAAATGATTAGAGGTTATGAAGGATCTGTATGGTAGTTCTTACTCATTCAAGATCCTAAGCTTTTCTCCAACCAGGTCTATATCACATCATCATAATGGGTGGTGCTTAAGGCACTCCTCAGCATTAACCCTTTCAGACCATCATAACCTTATTCAACATAAAGTACATTGAGGTTATTAAAGGGGCAACAGAAACACTTCATTTCATTTTGTTGACATTAAGTGTTACGAAAGGACTTGCTTTTATGAGGCATTTTTCACAGTCCCTGCACGTCTCTAAGTACTTTATAAACCATGAATTTTCTTTAAGTATTGTCATTATCCAATGCTGGAAACATAGCAGCCAACTTACACTCAGCAAACCTCCCACAGATAACAATGTGGCGCTGACCAAATAATCTGTTTTTTGTGGAGTTAGTGGAGGGATAAATATTGGCGCAAGAAATCAGAAAGAAATCTCTTGCTGTCCTTCAGAATAGTGATGTGGGATCTTTATTATCCACTTGGACAATCAAACAGGACCTCCTTTTAACATCTCATCCAAAAGACAGCATCTCCAACAGTACAGCACTCCCTCTGTACTGCACTGAAATGTTGGCTTTAAGTTTCATAATGAAGCCCTGGAGTAGAAGATGAACCTGGAAATTTGTGATTTGGAGCCAAGGAAGCTAGAAATGAAGCTATCTTCCTGATAGTTGCCATATTTCTCTATACCTGTTCCAGAGATTGAAGGTTTGCTCACCTGGCCTGGAACACTCTTCCGAAAGCTCCCTCTCCAATATCCCTCACGTACTCGATATTATTTCTTGGATACTCAAGGCTCAGCAGTTTAGGGTTGAGAAGGAGAGGAAGACGCTGGTACATTGGGTTAGGATGAAGTCTGTCCAGTAGCAGCTCTGATGGAAGAGCTGCCAGGGTAGGTGTTTCAGTTCCTCTGTAGCTGGGAAACAGAAAAAAAGTGTGAAAATATATTTGATACTTTCTGGGCAAAAAGGATTTAGTGAAGAAGAATGCCATCCATGTGAGGTTGGTTCAATTCTCCAAGACTTTACAGCCCCTGCACCAGGTCAAGGCAATAATATTTTTCTGATATTGTTTTGTTCTTCATGAAAATATCACGTCATCAAGATAAACTGAATCATTCACTGAATCACCATTTAACCCATATTGCATCTACTGTCTCTCTGAAAACGTGCTGATTATTCTTAATCCCCTCCTCTTTCTCCATGGTCATATCTGATAGAGTACTACATTGTATCTAGTTCCAGCCATCATCCATTACAAAGGGTGCCAATATTGTGGAGCGGTTACAGAGAAGAGTTATCTGAATATTAGCTCTACTAATCCTTCCTTTTTAAGTATGTATCTAATTCCCTTTTGAAAGTCACGACTGAATATCATGCATCCTTCCAAGCAGTGCATCCCAGATCGTAACAACTCACTCAGCAAAATAAAAATTCTCCTCATTTCCCCTCTGGCTTTTATAGAGTCATTGAGTCATAGAGCACAGAAATAGATCCTTTGGTTCAACCAGTCCATGCTGACCATAATCACAAACTAAACTAGTCCTATCTTCCTGCGCTTGGTCCATATCCCTCCAAACATTTCCTATTCATGTACTTATCTAAATGTCTTTTAAACGTTGTAACTGTAACCACATCCACAACTTCCTCAGGAAGTTCATTCCACACACGAACCACTGGCTGTTTAAAAAATTGCCCCTCACGTCTTTTTTAAATCTTTCTCCTCTCAACTTAAAAATATGCCCTCTAGTCTTGAAATCCCACACAATCGAGAGAAGATACCTGACATTCACCTTATCTAAGACAACAAGGTGCAGAGCTGGATGAACACAGCAGGCCAAGCAGCATCACAGGAGCAGAAAGGCTGACGTTTCAGGCCTAGACCCTTATCTATACCCCTCATTATTTTATAAACCTCTATAAGGTCACCTCTCACTCTCCTACACTCCATTGAAAAAAGTCCTAACCAGTCTCTCCTTATAACTCCAACCCTCCATTCCCGGCAAAATCCTGGTAAATCTCTTCAGAACCCTCTCCAGCTTAATAATATCCTTCCTATAACAGGGAGACCAGAATTGTACACAGTACTTCAGGAGAAACCTCACCAACATCCTGTACAACCTCAACATAATGTCCCAACTCCTATTCTCAAAGGTCTGAGCAGTGAAGGCAAGCATGTTAAATGCCTTTTTAACCATCCTATCTATATGTGATGCAAATTTCAAAGAATTATGTATCTGAACCCCAAGGTCTCTCTGTTGTACAACACTGCCAAAGGCCCTACTTCTAATAGTATAAGTCTTGCTTTTGTTTGTTTTACCAAAATGCAATACCTGCTTTTATCCAAATTAAACTCCATTTGCCACTCTTCAGCCCATTTTTTAATTTTATTGCAATTTTATTTTATTATAAATTATCTGAAATCAAGGTGTTCTGGTTACTGACTCTCTTGCAGTTTTTCATTACCTACTTGATCGAAACACCACAAAATTTGCAACACCTCAATTTAAATCATGCCTAAGCTTCTCTGCTCTCCAAATTTTCCAGTCTGCCTGCTTCATTTCATTTCTTAATACCTGTTACCATTCAGATAAATCTCCTCTGTGCCCTCCCTAAGTCATTGATATCTTTTGTAATGTGCCTGGAATTGGATAGTATTCTAGCTGAACTCTGACTCGGGATTTGTATAAAATTAATGTAACTTCATTTCATTAGGGGTTACAAAATTAAGCACCAATCCCTATCACAGTGTGTAGGAAACAAAACAAGAAGACATTCTTCACCTTTTCCTGTTCTGCCATTCCTTTTGACGACGGTGACAAGTAAAGATTATAATTATCAAAAGAACAGAAGCTGCGATGCTTGAGATTATGGAAATGATGATGGTCATAGAATAGGTTGCAGAAGTGAGGGTGGGTGTGTCTAATGTTCCTGCTTTAGGCTCCACACCCGTTATTGAGGTAGCTGGAAGAGAAAAAGGTATTGAAAAATCCACATAACACAATATATTTCAACACTGTCCACGTTCAAACTTGAGATCGAACTAAATGCTACAGCATTAAACTGGACCCCAGTGCATATATAAGAAAAGTGCATCTCTTCATTAACTAGTGGTGACAGCTCCTCTGATGGCTCAGTGTGCCATACAAACAGGAAAGCTCTGCCCTGATTACTTTCTAGTGTGTTTCTGGACAGCTAGTGAGGACCAGAACAGGGTGGAGCACTGAGCCGATGAATAAACACTGCCTTGCATGTGAACAGAGAGACCACTCTGGAGCCAAACGCAAATTAGTGCCTTTAAAAAAGGATGGGAAGGAACAGAAAGCATTGACGCTTTAATATTGTGAGCATTTGTCATTTATAATTTCCTGGTATAAATTGAACGAGCTCAAGTGGCCAATTCAGAAGGACACCAGGCAATCCCTTAGGCCTGTTCCACCATTTGATTAGATTCTAGCTGATTTGCAACTTAATTCCATCTACCATTTGAGAGTTACAAGTTAGCCAGGAAGGAGCTAAAGAGAGAGCTAAGAAGAGCCAGGAGGGGACATGAGAAGTCTTTAGCAGGTAGGATCAAGGAAAACCCTAAAGCTTTCTATAGGTATGTCAGGAATAAAAGAATGACTAGAGTAAGATTGGGGCCGGTCAAGGACAGTAGTGGGAAGTTGTGCGTGGAGTCCGAAGAGATAAGAGAGGTGCTAAATGAATATTTTTCGTCAGTATTCACACAGGAAAAAGACAATGTAGTCGAGGAGAATACTGAGATACAGTCTATTAGACTAGACGGGATTGAGGTTCATAAGGAGGAGGTGTTAGCAATTCTGGAAGGTGTGAAAATAGATAAGTCCCCTGGGCCGGATGGGATTTATCCTAGGATTCTCTGGGAAGCTAGAGAGGAGATTGCAGAGCCTTTGGCTTTGATCTTTATGTCGTCATTGTCTACAGGAATAGTGCCAGAAGACTGGAGACTAGCAAATGTTGTCCCCTTGTTCAAGAAGGGGAGTAGAGACAACCCTGGTAATTATAGACCAGTGAGCCTTACTTCGGTTGTGGGTAAAGTGTTGGAAAGGATTATAAGAGATAGGATTTATAATCATC